AAATAAGAATGAAGTGAAATAAGTGGAAATAGCCAAATAACACAAACACCTCTCATTAAACTACACAAGCTAAGTTTTCAAAATTATGACTTCGATTTTAATATAATATAAAAGTTTATTAATCTATTTAAATTAATATTTTTTTAAGAATTCAGAAGTAATCGAAATATAGTAGTATTTTATAGTTTACATGAAATTTTACAACACATTTAGTAACTTAATGCATATCAAACATATATAATGAATTCTCCCTCCACCTCTTTTTTTTTTAAAACAAGTACATCTCTTCCTAAAAAAATCATTAAATAAAGTTGCTTATATTTATTAAATTAAGTTTACCAGTGAACTTAAAAGTATAAATGCGCATTTTAATAACAATAACAAGATAACAAGTGTCTTTATTTCATATGTAAGTTTATAAATGCACATATATATTATTGTATTTTAACAACCAACATAATAAAATAACAAGTGTCCATATAAAAATTTTACAAATCTTAATTTACATGATAAGAATTGATACAAAAATTTATAAATATTCATAGAAAAATTTATAAACGCACATACATATTTTAATAACTAGTAACTCATCTAAACTTTTTGCTTGCAGAAAAAATAATAATAATAAGTGTAGGTTAGAAAATTTGACCTATTAATTAAATATAAATAACTTGTGATAAGGGTTTTTTTTTTGTATAAAACAATTATTGTAAGAATGTAGGTCATATATAGATCATGCAACACGTAGTACCTCTATATGCCTAAACCTGTACCCTGCTAAAGGATAAAGAAGACCTAATAAACTTCAATAATGGTGCCTTAGCTTCAAGCTAAAACAACGATATGAAAGTAAACATAACGATTAACGAGTAAGAAAATTTGCCGTGTTACCTAAGGGTAGTACAAATCTGTTTTAAAAAATTATTCTTGAAGAAGTATTGCTATTTATGGCCCTATAGTGATCCCTAGAGGATGTTAGCCTCAAATCCAAATCCAGTGGAGATACTCATTATTAAAAAAAAGGTACAAACCAAACTATCCATAGAAAACCTATTTTGGTGAAGTTGAAGAGTTGAAAAAAGTTGCTTTCGGGACCACTTTTGTCACGTTCATTCCATTAATCTAGGGTTAATTACTAAACCTAATTATTTCCATTAAAAAAATTTAAATGTTTTACACGTATAAGGTAAAGATAATTATGGTCAGAGGGAGAAAGATAATATATTATGCTTTTATTATGAAACAAAATATTTTATTTTGTATTCTTTTATAAAACATATTTAATATTATCTCGTTAATATAAGAGTTAGTTGACTAATATAAGTATATTAATAAAATTAATTAATTAAGTTATTTGAAATAAATAAATATTATATTCACTAAAATATCCTTAATAATTATGTGTATTAGTTAAAATTAGTATTTGATTAAACATTTAACATGTGCAATTGTTATAAGAACTAACTTGAGAAAAATGAATAGATATAAAAGACAAAATCGAGTCTTATATTTAAAATTAAATTAAAAATTAAATGAGCTGCTATATTAAAAATTGGAGATTGTAATATGGTCAGAATTAAGAAAAGAATTCAGAAGCATTCCCAATCAAATGAACAGCTTAACCATCAATCTTCCACCATCCTTGCAACCAACTTGGTAATTTATTACTGAACAAAAACGGGTCAGAATAAATGATGAAACAATTTGACTACAATATGATATGATAGTTAGAGAAGGATCTGAATATATGATTACAGAAGCTGGCCACACGATCACACAATAACTTAATCATCACTGACGCAAATTAGATTGAACTGAAGATATTTAATTAAACAGCTATATATAACATAAAACATTTGTGTTTTTGGCTCTAATGCTTCAATTCAATTGATTAATCAATGGTCAAATTGGTGGTCAAAGATGAAACCCTGGGGTGGGGGGAGAATCTAATGAGCGCCGAAAGGTGCAGAGGACAGTCATCATCAAAAAGAGGTTTTAGCAAGAGACAAGAAAAGACATTTTCTTTGTTCTTCCATTCTCACTTTGTCTTTCTGGTCGCTGTATAGTTAGAGATTAAATTTGATTATAGATATAATGTATCAATTTATATTATTTCTCACATATATATATAAATATTTTGGTGAAATCACATTGCATTTACTATATTAACTAATTTATTTAATTTCTTAAATTTATTTGAATCAATTAAATAATTTTTATATTATAAAACAGAGGGATTATTTTTTTAATTATAATTATTATGAACCGAGCTTCGAAACTAACAAATTTTTTTTTTTACTAGTCTTGAAAGGGCAAAGACCCCATCACCAAAAAGTACACGACAACTCTAACTAAGGTTTTCTGTCATTTTGTTTGGCAGTATAATGATATCTCTCCCAATTATGAGCTTTTCCTTCTTTCACTATGCTTTTTGATTCTTTTATTAACTTTTGGTCAAACTTGTGCCCCTTGGCAAAGGTGCCCCTAAATCACCTTTCTAATATAGTGAACATCATTATTAAGCATATCGAACCAAGTTAATGGCCCCATGGGTGTTGGATCATTTATTAGTTTATTATTAAGAAAAACCTCTCATTTTTGTTCTAATTCAGTTCCAACGTAACACTCTAATAAATTAGTCAGTCTGCCACTAAATTAGCCCTAAAAGCTTTCAACTTTCAACCATCGTTTAAAAAAACATTATTACTACAAAGGGAAAATTTATCAACTACAAGTCAGTGGGATCGAAATACAACATTTCTCCCACAAACAGAATAACGTAAATGCCATTATCCCACAAGGGTATTCGTTTTAATCAATCGGATTTAATTTCTGAAATATTAAGTTTTTTTTTTCACTAGACTCAAATGCCATTAGTATCATTTACTCTTTTTTCCCCCATATATTTAATTGGACTTTGCAATTTGAGAAAATTGGGGGTAAATACCCTATTCAGAAATTAATTGGCAAATGAGACTTAAAAAGATCAGTTGCACAAATACAAAAGATCAATTGCACGCACACAGAAGATCAGTTGCACAAAAATAAAAGATCAGTTGCACAAAAATAAAAGATCAGTTGCACACAATAGAAGTTCACTTGCACAAAGTCTTTAGATCTCATTTACCAATTAATTTCTCAATGGGATATTTATCTCCAATTTTTCCTCGCAATTTTATTTCCTTTTCTTCGGATTTTCTTTCTCATGTTTCATCATACATTTACAAGGAGAAAACAATTATAAAGATTAATTCGTTGTTCAAAAGTAAATATAAAAAAATCTTTCCCGACTCAATATGTAAAAATCAAATAGTAGTAAAATTTAAATTAGGGAGAATGACCTAAAAAAAAATTGAAAATTACTAAATTCTAAATTAGGTTTGATAACAATACTTTTATTGCTGTTAAAAACACTGAATTTGCAATGACGAGAAATTTTTGTTGATATTACTCATTTGGTATTTATAAATTTTCAGCTTCTTTTTTTGTCATTTCTCCTTTAAATTAAGAGTAAATAATATTCCCTCATCTCTTTATTTAAATACCGTAGTGTTTCCAGGAATTCAGCACCACATTGCCGACCATTTTGAAACAGCTTTGGAGAGCCTCGAAGCTGCGCATGTAACCCCCAATCAAATATCGCAGTTAGATTAATTCGTTTACTCTTATGATATACTCCTTTCCAATATTTAATATAAGACCTATTTAACTAATTTAATTAAATTAGAGAAGTTAGGTAAGTTAGTTAATTATAAAAAATATGACACATTTTTCCTAAAATACCATAATCATCTTTTTAATACCTCTCCCCCTCTTCTACTTGATTATGGTTGAGGAAGTATTCATAGGGGTAATTTAGAAAAAATTGATAAATATAAAAAATATGCCTTATATTTAGGATTAAAACCAACTTAACAATTGAGTCATATATTAAGGACCAGAAGAGTAGTATAATACTACAAGATCAAGATTGTCTATTAGGTTTCTTAAAATGTTAGTAAAAAGAACGATGTCTTAATAACAAAATTAAAGGTGGTCAAAATAAGATTTAATATATGAACCAGCAAAGTTAATTGCCTGAACAGTACTATAATTTAGTATGTCTATTAATTAACATGTACGTACGTACATACATTTGAGAGTTATCGGACCCTGCCTAATTATGAGACAAGAATTTCAGCACTGTGACTTCGAAATAAATAAAGACACAAAAGCACATTCTTCTATTTTACCGTTGTTTTATGTTCCCATTACTAAAATTCATTGCTTATATATTAGGGAAAACCATATTAGAGGTACCTATACTTTCTCTTAATTTTCAACTTGGTACCTATGTGTTTTTTGTTCTTAACTAAATCTTTAATTTTGCTCTATTAACATCATTAATCCTTATGTAGAGACTAAAAATATCAATAGAACAAAGTTATAAGAGCTAATGTTGCTAAAAAGATAAAATTAAATGTTTAATTAAAAAGAAAAAACACATAGGTACCAAATTAAAAATTAAAAAAAAATATAGGTACCTTCAATATGATTTTTCCTGTATATTACACCAATTTTGTTTTCTAAATTCCTTTCTCCCTTCACGTCATGCTTTTAATAAATTGAGACCAAAAGTCACCAAGTACGACGCACAACGAAACCATTCTTTTACGAAGAGGCTGAGAAAACTAGAGACCCGTGATCACAACCAAGCATCGGAAGTCATCATTTAAAATTTAAAAGACAAAAGGCATTAAAATACGAACCCTCCGAACAGTACCAACTTCTCAGAATTTATTTATAGATACAACACAAAACTTTACTTCTCACTTCACACTGAATCAAAACTTCATATTTCCTGCTGTTGAGACGTGCTCTAATAATAAAAATTATAAACACTTGAAGCATAAGGCTCAAAACCATCTAAAAAGGATCTTGCGTTTAGTTTTCAGTCAACAGACTTATCATTAAAATATTAACCACTCTATCAAAAATTAAGATTAAATCTCTAGTTAGGAGACAAGATTACAAGACAACAACGTTTTATCTTTCAAGAAGCAAAATACAGCGAGAGAGATCCAAGGATTACATTAAAAAAAAACATTCCTTTCCCATCATCCCCAGCTAAGTTATGTGAGTGAACAAGGAGGACAATGAGCAGAAGGGCGAAAACGAAAGAAGAAAAGAAAAATCTAAGCCTAAGCAAAAACAACTTTCTTTTGGAGTTAGTAGTACACCGTGTCAGGAGCAAAGCTTTGGGGTCTGGAGAATTATTAAAAACACCACCCACTTGCTACTTCCCTTTCATCATTATGCACAGATTCTCATCCCCTTTCTTCGATCTCATTCATTTTCATTCCATCCCAAATATTGGCGTTTGATAGAGACTTCCTTTTGCATGTGTTTGGAATGTGTGCAACCCACCAGGCCCTATGCTCCAGTTTCCATATTCAGAAGAACTCTCATAACCACCATTACTATTTAAACCTATGGGCGTGGCCAATGGGATCCCTGAACTTGAACTCGAATGCACTGTTCCAGCACTACTACTGCTGTTATTATTATTGCTGCTTCCACTTTGTTGCTGATGAATGTTCTGAACAACCACACCCTCATTCATAAATGCATTGTTATTTCTCTGCAACTCCAAGCTGAACGGTACCGGTGAGCTGCTATTATTGTTGTAGTTTTGCAAAGGAGAGGCCATGGTAACACCGTTTGGAATGTTTTTGAAAGATGAAGGGTTCTGGTAACCGAAGATGTTGGACCAGTAATCAGTGGTCGGATCTTGTTTGATGATGGGTACGGCGAAGCTGAGGTTGGAGGTCGAGGGTTGGGAGGCAAAGGTTGCCGATGAGGTGGAGGATGGATCCCGGTCGATGTTATCTGTCGATCGACTACCTCCATCGTTGCTTTTGCTGTCTGATGCAGAAGAATCTGATGAGTTCTTGGGTTTGGATGAGAATCCTCCAACTGGAAGACTGCTGTTGGCTATGCTCTTGACGTCGTATCGGCTCATGTCAAAGTTGGTCACTGCACTCAGCCCTCTAAATTTTATGGCTGCTATATCGTATGCTTCAGCAGCTTCTTCTTGAGTACCTAAAATATTTGAATCAATGTTCAATACATACACTTATTAACGGTCAAAACATAAAACGATGTATCTGTTAAATGTTTTTAGATATAGGTATATGTTAGGGTTGTCTTTTCTAATTTCTATCAACACTAAAAGTAAATTGAATTTTGTACCATCATATAATCATGCATTGATTCAAAAAGAAAATGACACAAGAAAGTGACACAATATATGGGGTCGTTTTCTCTCTTTCTTTCTTTTTCTCCTTATTTCTTTATGATTGCATCATCTATATAAATGGAGTCTATAAATATATATATATATATCTAATCAAAAAGTTAATTGGAAGGGAACATGAGAAATAATGGACTCACTAAAAGTGCCGAGATAAAGGTCTTTATTTCCGGCAACTCTGCCGATTCTTGCTTGCCATCGCCCATGCTGGTGGTGCCTGAAATGAACAAAAGGGTTCAAAACCTCCCCGTTATAATCTTATATTTTATTCACTCAGAATCATAAAGATGAATAGTACAACAGATGCTACGGGCCAAAAGCAACGAATTCAAAAGGCAGACATAAAGCTAAAGCATTCGCTCGCAATAAATATATGTAAATATTAATATAAATAAATATATATACCTTGTCACTCCTCTGTATATTGATGCTCCTCTAGAAAAACCACTACTCTTCCTACAAAGTGGACAGAGAGGGAAAAAAAATTTACAGGGTGCATAAAACTATAAAAAGACTGGAGGTTGCATGGATAAGTAAATAAAGTGAAGCCCAAAAGTAAAAAAATTCCACATGATATTATTACCTTCGTAGCGAAGCAACAAATTCCTGTCTTGTCATTTTCTTCATCTCTTCCAGTTCCTTCTCATAGTTGGAAATCTATAAGAGTCGCACCAGATAAAGATATATTAGTAAATATCTAGAGGAATACATAGAGATATAAGGAGGAGGAGGACGAAGGTTACTGGAAAGTTGGTGGTGGTGGTCGGACCCCAATATTTGAGAGCGGCAAGATCATAAGCCCTGGCTGCTTTCTCTTCCTTATCGTAGCCACCTACGAAACAACATAAACAGAAACATGTTTGTTTCAGGAAAATGATGTTTGATTGACCTTGAAGAGAGAATCTGAATCGAAGACGACATAGACATTCTTGAAAATGAACAGAACGGAATCTTTTAAGAGAAACGAAATGATAAATGGGGTCAAAGCCAAAACTCACCCAAATAAACTGAAAACCATAATTGACCGAAAGCATCCCACAAGCCAGCAGCAATCATTCACAGCATCGGGTAGCCGCACAAAGCAACAAAATAAGCATCCATCAGAATCTTCTTCTTCACCATTTATTTATATACCAACAACACAAATAATAACGTAATAACGCACATTCATATAACACTGTAGGAAAATCCCCAAAAAAAAAAAAACCCGGCTTGCTTCTTCGTCTACTTTCAAAACACATGACTCAGTATTGGGATTTGAACCCCAAGCACATTCTGATGTTTCCCATTTATTCCGGTCAAATATATATACCGAGACTATGAAGCCTTCTCAGACTCGGATCCGTTTGGCGCGTGATATACACGATACATGGGAAGTTATAACCTTACTGTGAAAGAAGAAAAGTATGTGAATCAGTACTGAACTTATTACCTTGCCTTCCTTTCCTGCTTTGACCTTCTCTTCTGCAACTATTATCCCATAGATGTGCTTCGTATCTTCCCGTCCATCTATGCCTGATATGATATATTCAAAAGAACAAGTAAGTGATAAAATAGGTTGAAAATAGCATTTCGTTTCTGATGATCGAGATTATGTAGAAGTGAAGAGTATAAGAAGAGTACCGGGTGACGCCGCGGTAGATGGAGGTGCGTTGGCCGAAGGTGTCCGCAGTCTTCTTAGAGGACGGCACGGTTAGAGCCAGCGCCTGTTTTTGCGGCTCAGCTCGTTCAGCGGCGGCCAAGCCGGGGAGGAACCCGGCGGTTATGGTTTTGAGCTCAGAACCGAATACGTTGTCGGCGGAGAACTGAGAAGCAGGCGGCGTGGGTACTGCAGATGTGACCGACGTAACGGAGGAGCCGCCCAGGAAGTCCTCGAACTTAGGGCCGCCTCCGGCGAAAACGGAGAGGTCGTTGCTGGTTGCACCTCCCCCGACAGTGGCCTCCGGCGACGCATCGACGGTGCTCCCTAAGCAAATAAGGACAGTCTTTCAGAAGCAAATAAATAGACAAAAAAGGAAAGCAACCGGAAGAAAAAAGCGGTAGAGAGAATAGTGCCTGGTGGAGAAGAAGAGAATGAATGGAAAAGAGAGGAGTGATTGGAGAGAGAGAAAGCAAGCCAGTTGTGAGAAGAAGAGTCCATAGGGTTTGGTGCTGGTCGTCGTGGATGAGCGTGAAAGAAGGGTTTCGTTGGAAAGGGTGAAGTAATAGTAGAAGAAGTAGAGGCTAGATTCTATTCCAAGGGGGTGAGAGAAAGAGAGAGAGGAGAGAGAGGGGTTTGAACTTTGAAGCTGAAGGAAGGAGGAGAGGGAGAATGTGACACAGATATAGAGGAGGAGAGGAGGGAAAGGGAGGGGAGGGTGGTGGGTGCAAGAGTGGTGAAGCTGGGAACAGCTGATTGCTGCTACGCCTACAGTGAATAGCGCGACCATCGAGGTGTTTTTTCTCTTCCACGCTCCGCTCCTATACGTGTGCTGTTTACTGGTATTATGCACTGCTAATTAAGGAGCAATTAATTAATTAATTAATCTCTAAATTGTTCTTACATTGTTTTTGGACTAAAAACTGTCTACTCTTTTAGTTTTATTTACAAGGAAGAATTTTTTCAATGGTATTTATAGTCATACGTCGCTTCATTTAATTTGTCTTTCATTTATTATAGAATAAATAATTATTTTTGGGTTATATTTATAAAGCATTTTCAGTATATTTCATATAGAAAAAAGAAAAATTTAAACTGTATTATCTCTTCGTTAAAATATAATAATTTTTCAACTTTTTCTTTATTTAATATGTACAACTTTCAAAAAAAAATTATCTCCACTATTATAATAAATAAAGAACAAAATAGTATATTTATGCTAAAAATTTAATGAAATGACTTATAAATAAGACTCAATAAAATTCTCTTTCTATTTTATAAATAAGACTAGACAGGTATTTTTTAAAAAAAAATATTAAACAGGATAAAACTGAAAATTTGTTATATATTTAATATGTGTGAAGCATACTCAAAAACAGGTGTGCATTACTTTCGCTTAAATACCATCCCTTAATTTTCTAATAGTAATTCAATTCAACTTAAATGTTGAAACTGAAATATAGTAAAATAATAATATGGTATAATTAATATTTAATATATTAAATCTTAATAGTTCGTGTGGAGTTTTTTATGTACTTATATGAAATTAAATTCAAAAGATTCATTGTTCGCACTAAAGAGTACTACTAAATGTTGAGAAAATTTTAATATCATATATAAGTACTACCATTTCAATCCTTATTATAAAAGATATCTTTTAGAAAAATATATGATTCTTATTATTAATCATCGAGTAAATAATTAATTATGCTTCTTTATGATTACTAGTGATTAACACAAGATATAGTTTATAGTTTAAGGGCTTATTTATAATAGCTTATAAATAATTTTTAAATCATGACTTACAGAATACGAAGTAAATATATAAGAGAAGTTTTGTCTCCGTTCACGCAAAATGTATTTATAAATGATTTATAATGTCATACCATACAGGAAGTGAATTGAGGAGATGAGGTGGTATTAATCACAACTTTTATAAATTCTTGGATAGTAAATAATGATGAATTTGGAATTTTTTTTATTTCAGACAAAGTTAATAATTCAAATAACAAACGAGTTTATTGGTTAACACCTATACTAATTATTCACTCCTTTTAAAATTATAACGATTTTTAATTATAATTTTTACATTTCATTTTTAATTCTTCATACTAAACAGGAGCTATATGCCCTTATAAATACCACCATTGGCAGGAAGGATCTTTTTTTTTTTTGGGTCAGAAATATGCATGAATGGGAATTGATTAGGAGAGAAAGAAAGGGGGAGAGGGGATCGATGTTGAGGGGTGGCAAAGTGGAAGCATTTTATAGGAAGAGTGCGCGGCGTGTGGATGGATGGATACAGAAAGTATGGAGACTCTGATGAGTCTTCAATTATAAATGGTTGATTTAGGATCGGATAGATAGAAATGGAACATCATTTATAATACCATTACGTGAAACCTACAATACATAACATATATATCATTGTTATATTGTCCTTTCCATTTTAAAAAAAAAATAAAGCACTTATATAAGTCCCTTTTTAATTTTTTTATATAAACTTTAAATACTTTTAATAATTATATAAATATTTAAAGTTAAGATCGGGTAACATTGATCCCATTGGATTTGTTATGGCGAGCCGACCATCACATGTGAAGCTACAAAACGCCCACTTGATTTCTAGAATATCTCTATAGAAATTTAAAAAAAAAAATTGGCAGAAAAATGAAATTACGTTCCATAAAATTAAAGGTTAACACAATATTTCGTCCTTATCATTTGTTCTAATTTTAATTTTAGTTCTAAGAACTTCAGACCATAAGTTTTAACTCTCAAGTTTTTCTTTGTTTATGATGTTAATCTTTATATTTTAATAAGAATCTAGGCCATCTTAACTTTTTGAGAAACTAAAACTAATGGTTTACAATCATATGGGCTAAAATCAATAAGAGGATAAATTATTTAAGTTAGTTATTTGTAATAATATGTATTGTCTTTTCTAAAATATCTTTACTAATCATATGTGTTAAAACTATCTTTTGATGGAAACTTTAATATGCACAAGCAAAATGAAAATTACTCTAAAAAAATAGATAAATATGATAAATAAAATAAGTTGAGGTATTAGATTTAGAGTGTAGAGTTTATAATTGAGTTATTCGATTCTTATATTAAAAATAGAATGTAGCGATAGATATTTGCATGTAGTTAAATAATACCCTTAACGTGTGTGTGGGTGCTATGCGTTAGATCGAAGTGGGGAAAAAAAGATGAAAAAGAGAGGCATGCAGCAAGTTATTATATAATACTCCTCCGGTCCTAAATATAACATTTTTTTTATAGTGTAATTTACACAATAAAAAAGATCTTATCTTTAGAATCAGAGGAGTAGTTCATCTTTACAGGGGAAATAAGTTATGCATGACAATTAAAACTCTAGCCCACATAAATTCTAAATTTTGTTTTCTTTTTCTTTTGAGTTACATAGGAGCGGGATCGAACCCGCGTCACTCACACACCCACGCACACACCCACACCACTAGGCCAACAGGCCGGTGGTCTAAATTTTGTTTTCTGATCAAACCTATCTTGTACCATAAAAATGGAGTTTTGAGCGAAAATATCATCTCATTACATGTATTGAAAGCATCATGACTTTCTTCTACGACCTTGCTAGAGAAATTTGCCATTTTCAATAAAGGGTCATTATCTGGTCCAACAATTTCTCGCGGGTTAATATTGTTTTCTTCCCCCAGTTTTAATGTTAGGCTCACAGCCTGTAACACCTCTGCCTACATCCAATTATTTTATTAACACTATTCTACTTGCAGGGGCTTGTTATGTAACACAATGCCATATATCAAAGAAAATTTTGGAAAATAAAGCTCTAACTTACCACAGAAAATGGCAAACTCCTCAAACAAGGTCTTGGAGGGGAGGTGTAATACTTTTTGAGTAATACTATCTCCGGTCCTAAATATAAGAACTGATTAACTAATTTGAGTAAATTAAGGAAACAAGTTAAGTTAGTTATTTATCATAAATAGGTGTTGTCTTTCCTAAAATATCCTTGCTAATTAAGTGTATTGGTTAGAACTACTATTATTAGAAGAGGTATCTTGAAAAAAAATAAATAAATATGAGAGACAAAGAGAATTGGGATCTTATATTTAGAACTAAAATAAAAATCAAACGAAGTCTTATATTAAAGACCAGAGATAGTATAAAGCTAAATAAAATGGCTGGGGAATCTTACAAAGAAAACTTCGCTCAATCCTAATTATGCCATTATATTTATAGCCAAAGATGTAATTTTAATTAAAATGAGGAAACCAATGTTGCAAAATGGGATGCAAACACGATTTGAGACTATGGTTGTGCTAGGGCTAGGCTATGGCTATGTCTTGCAGTGCCTACTAGGTTGGAAACGGCTACAATGCTCGCTAAGTAGGAGAGAAGGTTGTAAAGGATCTTCATCAAGCTTTAAAGTTAGATTTTGATGAGAAAGTTTATGCTAGACTAAGGGCCTGTTTGGGTATCCCCAAACCGTGGTTTCAGAAGCACTTTTCCGCAAAACGAGATAATCTCCTCCACATATTTACTTCGTAATCCGTAAAAGCACTTCTGAAACCATGGTTTAGTTTCTATCCAAACACACCCTAAAGAGAGTTAAGTGGAATATTCAAAAAATTAAGAGACACTAACTAAAATCTGAAATAATAAAAGCTGCCCGAGTAGGAAAAGGAATCAAGCAGCGACGACAATGTAAAGATTATGATGTTGTTGAAGCCCCACCCCGCATCCAAGGAGGGGAAAAGATCTTCCGAAGGCACAAGAGGACATTAATATTGAGCAAGAAATACTAACAAGGGTTGGATTTATTGGAAGAGATTAATCTTTTATAACGTAATGAATCAAAATTTAAATTTCTTTAGAATAGATGTTCACATTTAATACCGGATTGTGTCACAAATAAAATAAAATTACCTTTATTAGGAGGATGAATGTGCGTATCAAAAAAATATACAAAATAACATGGGTGATAATAGGGAATCTAGAAAAGGGAATGATCACGATAGAACCATGTCATCCAAGGTTAAAAAAAGAACTATGTCATCAAAATTCTAGAAGGCTGAATTTATAGTTTCATTATATTAGTCCCAAAAGGGACAGTGATAACCGTAATTTTCCCAAGCCACAAAAAAATTAGGAGAATGGGCATTAGTTGTCCTAATTTGTGAATACGCTTTGCCTTCTGGAATTGGAGCTCATTGTAAAATCTCTAATTAGCTTGATCTCATTTGAAAGCTTCATCTCTAATAAAAGGCGAACATAAATAAGATAATACTATCTCCGATTCTTCATATAAGAGCTCTTTTGACTTTTGTTTTGGTTTCAAATAGAAAACCCCAATCCATTTTGTCTATCATATTTATCTATTTTTTCTCAAAATAATCCTTATAACAATAATAGTTCTCGCTAATATAGTTGATTAGTAAAAATATCTTAAGAAAGATAACACCTATTTATTACAAATAACTAATTTTTATAATCTATTTAAATTAGTCAACTAGTTCTTAGATTAAGGATCGGAAGAAGTAGTTGTGGCCAATGATAGCCAATGGAAACATTGAAATAGTCACAACTAGATTCCATGTTACAGTGGACAAGCTCGGAGACACAGACGACGGCAGGAATGAAGAGGATAGAAAGCACAACGTAATGGGGAGAAGGAAAGGTAGAGAAGAGGAGGAACCGAACATGTATGACACATAACAGCAAGCGTTCTATCTTTAAAATGGCTGAACTACCCACCATTTATGGCCTCTGATCACTCAGCTTGAA